TGATTTTTACATTGAAATGACTTCACAAGTATAGGTTAAATAATTCTGTAAGCTCCAAGCTTGAAATTCAGAGCAGTAGCAGTACATTATATTAGATTTAGTTCCAAGAGTTTATTGCTGTTGATAAATCTATACAATTTTAAATTAAAGCCTTCCTATCCTGTATCTTAAAATCTATTTTGACACTAAAACATCTCCTTGGAGAATTATCTATAGCTAATTTCTAAACAATATATTAAATTTAATATTAAAATGTTTCATTGGTTAATCAGTTCTTTGACATTTGAGTAGATAATGTTTTATTTCCATTTTGAGTTTCTGCTGTAGTTTAAGTTTTGTGAAGCGTGCTTGCTACTCACTGTAGCCTAGGGAGAGCAAAAGCACTGTTTTGTCTTCATGTAAAAAACTCATCATTTACTGTATTACCCAACTTCCTTGGATCTGAAGCTTCTAATCTTAACAGAGCAGGAGTTGAATTAGGGTTGCATTAGTCTCAAAATAGACTAACGAAAATGTTCACTCTGCAAGGAAGAACTGTGTTTAATGTGACTGGTACTTGCTTCTTCTAATGCACAGTGCTCATGCATTCAGTAGTATTTTATATTTGTGTTGCTCTGACTACATTTTCATCTTTCAGGTCACTTTTCATATTGAACCTTACAAAGATAGAGATGATCGCAGTATGTACCACAATGTCAAATACATCATTGACAAGTGAGTGCTTTCAGAATGGTTTCCTTTGGGGTTACATGCTGGTTTAGGGGACTTCTATGTTATCTAAAGCTTGGAAGAATGTATAAAAATATGTACCGAGACTGAAGAAAACTGTGAGCAACTTTGTTTGTGTTCAGTGGTACAAAACTCAGTCTTTTTTAAATACTGGAGTCTGAATTTTATGTAGATACTCAAACGTAAATTGCTTTCAACATTCAGTAGAATCCCAAGTCATGATACTTCAGATTGAAGCAGTTAAAGTATTAGCTTTATTTTATTAATATAAATTAAACATACATTTTTATAGTGACAAACTAACAGCTAGAGCTTCAATGTGTTAGCCTCTCATCATTTAATTCAGCTTGGCAAATTTTGTACAGCTACTAGTTGTTTTGTTTAACAATGCTACTTAGATTGTCTTATTTCATACTGAATTAGAGAATTGCCCTTCAGAGAAAACTAATACCTATAGTGCAGTTTGACACTAAGTTACTAATATGTAGTAATTTAAAGGTTCTTCGCCAGATTCATTATTTAATACTTCAGCAAACACTGGGCTGAAAATGGATATGAATTGCTATGTTTTGAAGCGCATACACTGTCTTTTTAAATTTGTTTTTAGGAAAAGTGTTCAGGTCAGATTGTGAACCAATATTTTCCAAATGGCAAATGTTGTCTTAACAATACTTATTTGCTTTATAGATATGGAGGCCATCCAGCCTTTTACAGGCATAAGACCAGCACAGGCAGATTTCTTCCCATGTTTTATGTTTATGATTCTTACGTTACGATTCCTGAAATATGGGCGAATCTGTTAACTGTTTCTGGATCCCAGACTATTCGAAATACTCCATATGATGCATTATTCATTGCACTTCTTGTGGAAGAAAGACATAAGCATGACATTCACAGAAGTGGCTTTGATGGAATGTACACGTACTTTGCCACCAATGGCTTCTCCTATGGCTCATCTCATCATAATTGGGCAAGTTTAAAAGCCTTTTGTGACAGTAACAACTTAATGTTTATTCCCAGTGTGGGGCCAGGTTATATTGATACCAGTATCCGACCGTGGAACAACCACAACACCCGTAATCGTGTCAATGGGAAGTACTATGAGACTGCCTTCAGTGCAGCCCTTTTGGTGCGACCAGAAATCATTTCTATTACATCTTTTAATGAATGGCATGAGGGAACTCAGATTGAAAAAGCTGTCCCCAAACGGACTGGACAGGTGGTTTACCTTGATTATAAGCCCCATAAACCAAATGTTTACCTAGAGCTTACTCAGAAGTGGTCCGAGAAGTACAGAAAAGAACAAGAACAGTGGCTTATGTGAGCTGTTGCTGCTGCAGTTGTTTCCTAACTCATTGACTACATCAAGAAAGAAATGGAGAGCTGAAAAATCTGTTATTAAATGTCTTTATTATAGATATGTTCAAATTATTATGTCTCTTGAATGTATATGCACTACTACTGAATTTGAATTTTGAAGAGTAAGACGACGATGAGAATATTGACATTTCTGTCTTATTTGATATTGTAGTTCAAGAATATTCAGGGAAAATGCTGGAGTTTTGTGTGTTTGGGTTTTTTAAACTTCATAACTTGCATGCTGGTCTTCCAGAGCATCTGCATGGGATAACTCTACATGACCAAAATAGAACAAGAATTTGTCATAGTCATACTTACTTCCTTTGTTCTTGTAGTTGTGTTTCTAATCAAAGTGATGCTGTAATCTAAATTTTTATCCTGGTAGCTTCTTGCAGAATGCATGTCTGTAAGTGTGTGGAATAATTTTCATCTATTGTTTTTAATGCTTTGCACACAGGGAGTTCTTGACGTATGCCTAGCTTGTGGTAAAAACACTGAAGAGGTATGCGTGATGTTTAAAAAAAAAACAAAACAAAAATTGAAAGATTGAGTTCCAGAGAACTGCTGAAAGATTTCTGGTTTACTTCCATTTGTTCTGTTCAGTACATGGTGCAGACTTTTGCAGATTGCTGGAGACTGACCAGTAACATAGTTTTTTCTATGTGACTTTGAATTTTTAAAAAAATATTGTTTGAAACCCAGTGGAAAAGATCTTTTTGTGGGGGGAGGGAACCACTAAACATGTGAAAAATGTACTAAAACTTCCATTGTTATGTGTTGTCTGCTGATTGACTGCAGACCCAGATCTAGTGTGATTTTTAAAATGTTTAAAGATTCTAAAGCTAATATCTTACTGGTCCTACAACAAATATAATTTTAGGAAATGTTTTTTGGTTTCTGATTTAGGAGTAATCTAGTTGGGTAGCAATGACAGCAACTACTCATTAGCTGAATTTGAAATCTGAGGTTTCTCTTTTTCGTATAGTTCATCTAGTTGTTCCAGGATTCAGAGTAGTAGGTACTAAAATCTTTTTACTATTCAGATAAGCTCCCTACCAACACTACCTTTAATATTGGAAATGAGTACTTTCAGACTTAAGAATCTCACCTTTCAAATGTTGCGATTATTAACTGTTTTTCTTAATGAAGCTTGAAAAGATGGAATCACATGGACATGTTTCTCAGCAATCCTATTTTTTGGCTTTTTTGTACAACTTCATAGAAAAGTCCTGAACTTTGGAATAGTAGAAATTGCAGTGTTTTGTTTATTTGCAGCAAGTGTTTATTCTGTAGCAAAGTGGCTTTTTTTGGTTGTGGTTTTTTTTTTTTTTACTTGTATACAAGGTGCTGATCCTGTGTTGTAGTTCCCATGCCGGAACTCTTGTGACCACTAGAATTCCATAACTTTCAGC